AGGGAGCTGAGAGGATTCATTTTGTTTGACATGATTCCCACTATATTCTTTTTACATGAGTCTAGCTTTGGTGCAGAGAATTATTGTACCAATTAATATCTTGCTGGTGGATATTTGCCCAATAACTGTCTATAAGTTTAAGTCAGCTTTCCAATAGGAATGGCCAAGTTCACGAGCTTTGCATGGCTGAAACCTATTTCTAGTGTAGTTCTGTTTTAGAAAAGCATCTTTTTCCTGCTATGAGAGCTTTCTATTTTGACAATGAGGGTAAATGAAGTCTGCTTGACTTCCTGATTTGTATGTCAATAATGAAATAAATGTTCCTGTTGGGCTTTCAACTTGGAGGATAATCTGATAAAAAGGCGTTGGTGTCATCTCAGACATTTCAAATTACATGCTTGCTCAGCATGCTAAAAGCATTAATTAAAAATAGATTCCAGGAGATGGAAAAGGAAGGTGCCTCAGAGTAAATGATACCAAAATGAAAGGATATTCTTCATGAGAAGACTTCAGAATGTATATAAAAGGTTTGATAATATTCATAGTGTTGTTGTAGTTGAAGGTTTAGATATCTTGAATAGATAAGAAAATAATTCCGTATTTGTACACCACTATGATCTTGCATGTGTGACATACATCTCGTTAAAATTAGGAAAGTATTTCTGTAGTTTACGTACTGGTGAGAACTCATTTTGTATTACAGATTCCATGCTTTTGCTGAGGAGAATGACTATAGAGATGCTACTGGACCTGCACTAAAATGTGAAGAGGATGGAAAAGGTCTAATTGCCCTAAACTCCAGAACAGTGAAAGGGCGCATGCCACTAGGTAGACAATATAAAAAACAAGATGATACTGATTTTCTCCGTGAGGTTTCAAAATAGAAATGTAGTATAGGAACTTGCTAAGTGTAAAATCAAAAGCCTTCTGTAGGCATGGGTGGGGTGATGGCAAGACTGGTCAAATGGAAATTCTGTGGGTGGGAAGAGGAGGGCAAGGAAAAGAGAGAAGTGCAGAGAGTAGAGGATGTGCATGTGAGAATGAAAGAGAAGTGAAAAAAGGGAGAAGAAAATAGTAATGGTGTGCTTATATCAGTTACCTTGTGGAAATGTATAGAGAAATGGCAGAAAGGAAGAGGAATGGTGTGGAGGACCATCTGATACAACAGCCACATCAATATAGGCCAAGTTCATACGTAATATAAGGGGATTAAATCCACATGAGGTTGACTTGCTTCTCTCAAGATCTGAATTTGTTGTAAAGACAGGCAACAAGAACAGTAAAATAACCATAGAGCATGAGGTGCGAAGAGGGGGGGAAAAACTGATGAAAAAACCCAGGAGGAAACAAATAACAAAAACAGGGTTTTACTGTGGGGTGGAGCTGGGTTCATACGTAATATAAGGGGATTAAATCCACATGAGGTTGACTTGCTTCTCTCAAGATCTGAATTTGTTGTAAAGACAGGCAACAAGAACAGTAAAATAACCATAGAGCATGAGGTGCGAAGAGGGGGGGAAAAACTGATGAAAAAACCCAGGAGGAAACAAATAACAAAAACAGGGTTTTACTGTGGGGTGGAGCTGGGCAGAAAGCTCTCAGTGTGTTTCTTATTAGTCACAGTGCTACTTCCTCGGGGTAAGTGAGCCCTACTGTTCAATGGGACTGGACTGGGGTTTCAGCCAGGTTGGGAGGAGACCAGCTTGTGGTGTGAAGTGAGGCTGTGTATTAAGCCTGATATCTCCATCAGCAGGACATTAAATTAAAAAAATATTTATTTTAAATATCTGAAGGCATAATACCTGTTTATTCTAATGGCTGACATTGGTGACATTAGTGTTGCCCCAAAGGTAGAACGGTGTTATTCTCTTCTTACTGCTAGGGAATGTATGGCAAAAGGTAGATTTAGTGACTCACCTAAGGTCATTTGTCAGTCTTGGACTAACTGACCCATATTTCCTGGGTTGTAGTCTAGCTCGTTGTGTACTAACTTATCCTTCACTAGGACCGTGATTATAACAGTACAAGAGAACCATAGTGGGGGGCTAGAAATAAGAGAATGAGGTGTCACCTATTTTTTTTCTTTGTTGAAGGGACACTCAAGCCTTACCCATGCAGGGTTTAGAAACCGACAGAAGAGTATGCTTCAAAACCCTCTCTCTCATTTCATACTAATTCAGAGCAGTATAATGATCGCCTTCAGTCTGCTATGAGTGCTTCCTTGCTGAACTCCATTTGGGGGTGTGCGTGGGGGGAGCTGGCTTCCTCTTCCCCTGGGCAGTCAGCTTGTTTCAATAGACAGACCTAGAGCTCCTGTATGACTGAAATTACTTCCTCACCACTGTTTCTAAAGCTGAAAGCTGAATAGCTTTAATCGCTCAAAAGGGCAGTAATCCCCTTGAAGTGCATTGTCTGTTGTGTTTTATTGCTATTATGGAGTAGAATTTACACATTAAAAAGGAACACAATTAGCTTTCTGCATTTACTGGGTATTATAAGCGCAGTCGTGACATCACTGGCAGCCAATCAGAGCGTTTCAGTCGTATGCAGAATCTAAAGTTCTTTCAGAAAAGAAAACACATTGGAGACATTATTCTGGTCTGTGTCTGATGTCTCTTGTTTCAGAGACTCCTTCAAGGGTGTAGAAGGCAATAATAATAAAAGTGTCGATTACTCACTAATGGGCACTGAAACTGGTTCTTGGATGTGTGGCATAAACCATACAAGGAAATACATACAGAATGAACGAGAGATTTAATCTTCCAAATGTGGTATTTCTTGAAAATAACGAGAGGCACAGGAATATTTTGATTATGTTTCTTTTTGCACCACAAATGCAGCAGCTGGAAACTGAAACTCATCATTATGTTGTATAGACTGGAAAAGCTGTTTTAAGGACATCTGATAGTTTTCTGGGTATCCACTGAATAACTGCGTTTTGCAAATACAGGATATCTTCATGTTCAGTCTTTTTCATCTGCTTAACCAAAACAAGTCAGACGTGACCTATTTAAAACTTTAGGTAAGAGCTCTGTTCTCCCCTGTTTTGCATCTTGAGCAGTCATTTAGAAAGCAAATGTGAGAAACTGCCAAATTTGAATTTTTTTTACACTCATTTTGAGTGGATGCTTGAGATCAAAACAGGTGTAAGCCAGTAAAGAATTAAGGTCCTTATGTTGACAGACTCAGATTTAATTAAAGCAGAGAAATGCTTCTACATAAAACCTAATTTCATGTGGTGATATCATGTGGTGATATCTCCTCAACCATCACTGATTTTTCCGTTATCACTTCTGCCTACTTTCTTTGTGTAGCTTATTCATCTGCAAAAAGCTGCAGAATTAGGCAATCCTTTCATGTATTTAAATTATAAGCGGAAGGGAGGTGAAATTTAAGTTGGACCTTGAAGACATAGAGGGCAAGAGATGGTGGAAGCTGTGGAGAAGAAGGTTCTTGCTGAAAAGGGGCACAGTTGTGTCATCTGTTTGGAGTGACAGGAAGATAAGTGCTACACAAGGCTTGCAAAGCAATGGCGTTTTGAACTAGATCCTGAAATGAGTAGCAGGTCCTTGTTGGATGAAATAGAATCAACAGTACATCTCTGTGCAGTGTTTTTCTGTGTGGTGGAATAGATGAGCCGGTATGTGTAAAGAAAATGCAAATGGACTGAAATCAGGATTTGACTGATGTGATGAATCCAAAGAGGGATGTGTCTGACCTCCTTGTGAACAGTGTAAGGCTGTTTTATTAGGTGTGCTTGATTATCCACACTTACCTGATGCCACAGGGAACATTTCAGGTTGCTGTGTGTAAAATGGGAAGCATAAGAGTGCCAGCCTCCTAAATGACATTGAAGTCAATGAACTCTGCACTGTTTATGTACACAGACATGGGAGAGATCAAACCCTCCCTTTGGAGAGCCAGGATAGTGACTTAAGAGTAGCTGCTTTGCCTACAGGCTGTAGCAAAGATCATTACCTCTGCTTTTTCCTTGCATATACTTTGTGTAGTCTTAGCAGCCTAACCTTGGCCTGGGAAATCTCTTTGCTAATGTGTAGAGAGTGATGCAGATAGCAGCTCTGCGACACCACACGGGGTACAAAGTTCATTTGCTTTGTCCGTTTGCCCAGTGGGAAAGGGGCAGGATTGGGCTGCGGTGAGTGTCAGTGCTGCTCCACCTGGCAGGTACTCGGGTAAAGCTGCGTACTCCCCTCCTGTGCTCCCTCCTATGTCCACTCATCCCCCTCTGAGTGGGGATTTTAAAAATCAACACTTGAGGGACTATTGCTATGTTCTGCTGCCACGTAGAGGCTGAGGAAAGGACCAGCAGTGAAAAAATGAAATTGCCCATCTTGCCTTGCAGGCAAATGAAGTTTAAAATAGATCTTAATCCATTATATTTGGATTTGCTTGCTTCCACTGTCTAAGTCAGATAATCAGAGAAGTAAGAAATGCTTCTGTTTTCCATGAGTTGCTTTCGCATTGGTTTTTGCTTGACGTTTCAAAGATACTGTAGATTTTGCACGCTGCTTTTTTTTTTTTTTTTGGTGTGGTCTTTTTTTTCTCAGCAGGTTTTGTATCTTGAGTATGAAATCAAATGGGTCACAGTGACTTGTCAAACTGGATGAGTTTGTCTGCTGGGAGGTAGGTGTGGAAAAGCTGCTTCTTTTAAGATTGCCTGACAGTGTTAAATAACTGGGAAATGGAAATGAGGGCGGTTATGAGTTTCCGTGTACGTGTAAGTGTGTTTGTGTTTTTGCTTAGACATACCATGTTGCTTCTCAATTTGCCAGTGTCAGCAAAATGCTTCTGCCCCTTGCCGCAGGCTCTCCCCACACCCTTCCCCATCCTCTTTTTCAGGGCCTCCCTCGTCCAGAACAGAAACGCCATTTAACCGAGAGCAGGGCACATCTGAAACGTTCCCCAGCATGAGGTGCTCTGCAGGGTCGTCATGGCTGTGCCAAGAGCTGAAAACAACTGACTATGCTCGGCACAAGCTGGGGGCTGGCAGCAGGGTGTTAAGGCCGGTTCCCTCATGCGTGTCTGGTGGCCGCCCTGTTGCCGTTGCTGTGTTGCGGTTTTTGAATCAGAACCAGGGGGTCCCCAGGGCTCTGGCCGTTAAACCGCCAGCCAGGGCAGCTGGGGGGGCCACTTCATGGCAGGGGGGACAGGAAGGGCCCTTTCCCTCTGGGAATAAAGTGATTTTTTTAAGATGAGGTCCTTCCTGGGACGCGGGTGCCTGAAGACGTGCAAGAACCAGTGGGCCTGGAGCAGTTGGGGACTACACCCCCTAGTGAGAGTGACTTTCAGCTGCTTTTCAGTTGGTGGCCCCCAAAAATGGCACAACTGAAGTGCGAGCACAGGGAATTTAAACTGAAGAGAGGTTCATGTTTTCGTGGTCATTTTTCACTGATGCGCTTTGAGGGATGGGCCGCAGGTTGAGAACCACACCTGGAGGATACTATGCATTGTATGTGCATGTATATTTTGTGCATGTTTAGGGGCTCAGTTTCGAAAGGCATAGCTTTTCCGTCCCGCTCTTCTGTAGCTGGAGAGGAAAAGAGGCTGAGGTAGAGGTGGAGGTGAGCCTCCCTTCTAGAGAAAGAAAGTTGCTATGGATGTCACTGCTTGCAATGTGCTCTCCCAGTTGAATCCAGGAAAAACTGTTGCCAGATAAAAGGTTTTCTAAGCAACTTGATCTTCACAGTGTGCAGTTGCTGATGCCTGCGTTTGTCCTGTATAATAAGTGTCATCAAACATACTTACTTTGAAAGTGCATGCAGTTTTACTTTGCTGTGCTGTAGCATAAATAAGGAAAAAATACCCTCTTGTGTAATACCAATTCCATACACATATCTTACTGGGGACAGTAACAATAATCCTGTAAATCTGATGAGTCCATAGCATCAATTTAAAGGGAAATGAAGCAACACAATGATAAAATCAGTATTGTCTTAAAGGTAGTTGAAGTATGCATACTTCTTTCAATATTTTGAAATATAATGTTGGAGACAGGTCCACTGGAATTGCATTCTTAACAGTCTTAAACTTATAAATATGTGCACATGTGGTGTGAATGCATGTGTTTTGTGGTTTTAACTGAGACAACAGGTGTATGTGTATATATATGTATATTCAATGGCTGACTACTCATCAGAAAATCTCTAGCTCCCTACTTGTTGGAATTTTGCCAATACTCAGATTTTGTATGTTTTGCATTTCTGGGGAGCGATTGTTTATAAAAGAAAAGTTGACTTCTTTCTGAAGTATTTGAACAGAATACTTTTCTTAAAAGGCAGTGATAGCAGACTCAGTTTTTTTCTCCCTTTTGTGTTTTATGTTGTGGAATGATCTGCTTTACTAAAGCTTTTTGTGATTTAGGAAATGTCGATCTTTATCCTAATGACTTGAACAGATGTTTTTGAAATGCAGGAAGGTCCCAGGAGAGGGCAGTGTACAATAACACATTTCAAAATATTTCTTGGAAACTAAAAGCAATTCACAAAATTGAGTTGTTGTTTTGTAAAACGTTCATATTATTATTTCAGGGAAGTTTATCAAAGAACAAAGTGATCAGATTTGTTTGTTTACTGATAGCCTACTTCAGTAGACAAGTTTGCATGTCTTATCCTTTATACAGTGAACCACCACTGTAGATTAACTGAACCACTAGATGATAAGATATAGTTTGCTTTGTTCAGCATCTTTATGTGCAATTCAGTAATAGGTTGTAATCTGCAATAGGTTGCGGTCTGCATTTGTGGCTAGGGTAGCTCATGATTCAGTTTCTTTTATATTTTTACTGTAACACTACACACAGTTTTTCTGTATTGTCCTATATTGCAATTTAAACTCTGATACTAACCTAATTTAACACCTTTTTAGTAATGTTCATACTGCTTAGCTACACATGGTGCCTCAATTTTAATAATTGTACTCTACTAAATAAATACTTTTTTTTTAATCAAGACAAACATGTCTATTGAGATTAAGAAAACCTTATATCAACTCCAGCTTTTTTGAGAGTATAGCCTGATAGTAAAACATTTTATTTTTTTTAGCATTTAGTTATGACTATTGAGAATTGTTCAGACGAAAATACACTTATCTTAGCGAAATTTTGTCACATAGTCTTCAGGAAAGGAAGATTTAATTTTAAATAAAGGTATTTATGTACTTTAAGGGAATTGAATGAATTGAAAACACCTTCTTTAAAGTTTCAAAGTTGGGTCTGGTATTTGGAGCCAGGTTTTGCAATCAAGTCCAGGGGACAACATGTGAATCTCTTTGTGGAGTTTCCTTATTATTATCCAAGAGTGTTAAGAAGGATTTGCTTCTGTTGTGGGAACAATCTGTGGCCAACTCTGGAGGTTACTTCCACCAGGCTAAGCACCTCTCATGTCCTGGTGCCAGCTTTGAGCCCTTTTTTGAAGTTTATCAAAAAACAGGACTTGTCACTGCAATGGTACTTCAAGAAAACAAGGTTATATGGCAACATTTGGATGAACACAATGACTTTGTGGTAATTGAGGAGTTACAAAAAGCAGAAATTTTCTCAAAATGTCAAGCTCTGTTTATGATTTCTTTTGCAGTAGCTGGTGTCCGTGAAGATGTCTTTTTGATCTGGAAGGAGTTGGAGGAAGCCAGGAGTACAGTGACACAAGTTCAGAACATTTTATCAGAATCTGACCGGCTTGCTTCCCGAGATGGTATCATTTATGTTTCTTACAAGAGAGTTACTATTACATGCATGTTCAATATTTTATTTATGAACAGTTTTGATTACATGTCAATTTGGGGATGATTTTCTCAGAAATGTCTATATACAGGTAGCACCTATACTTGGCATCTAAATTTAGGGTTGCTTAAAACTTTCCATTACAAATCTCTGATTACTACTGCTTAAATTTGCTGAACTTTAACAGCTCGGGCTGAAACACACAATTTTTAGTCCACCAGTGACTAGGTGTAGAAATTGCATAGATTTCAAGATACTGAAATTCATTTTTCATGGTCTCTCCCTCTCTGCCTGGGCCAGTAAATCTTTAATTTTATTCTACACAGTGCTGGGGAAGTACCTCATCTCTCTCCCATCATGGTCTTCTTGGGATAGCCTCCAATCTGGCATCTAGCTAATTCTCCTAAAAGGGCAGAAGTGTGGGTTTGAATTCTCTTATCAAAGGTAGAGGACTGAAAACAGTTCTGGATGAGTGCTCTGACAACTCTTGTGTTAATAAGCAGGTGAGGAACACCCACATTTGTTCATTAAAATAATAGTTCCCACCTTTATGTTTGGCCTGGAACATGATCCATTTGTTGTTCTGTGCATATTGATTGGATTGAGCACTATTGGAGATGGAAGCATAGCTGGTTTCTCAATCTCTGGAAGGCTGAAACAGGTGATGGTGAGAAGCTACTCAGCCCTGCTAAGATGGAGGTGGTCTGGGCATGCTCTGGAGCAGAATGATCACACTGAGAAGACTTAAATACTGAAAACTTAGGAATCTGTAGAGTCTAGGCAGCTTCAGTGTTGTACTGCGACTGAGGCAGTGGATTTTCAGGATCATAGCTGTGATTGACAGTGCTTGTATTCTGCATTAGTCCTTGGTTTCAAAATACTTACATAGTGTCTGGTGGCATTTTTTGCATAAGTTGATACAAGATTCATGTTGAATTAGCACAACTCATCAGTGATTTTGTGTAGCTCCAGTGTTGTTTTTGCAGTACAATTGCTTTTGCTTTGGCTAGATAGGGCCTGGGGCTAGATGCCCTTTTGTGGATCACCTGCTGAGGAGCGCTTTCTACAGTCACTTGGTCGGTCACTTGAACTCTCAGTGGTGTGTTGTGTGACTAGGGTGGTGATGGTGAAGATTTGAAGCTGGGAACTTTCTCTGCCTGCACTGGGTTTGAACATCTGTCAATAACATAAATTTGCAGGACTTAGGCTTGATTTTTTTCCTCTGTGAAGGCATAATACAGTTCATTATACTGCTAATAGTGTCTTCGGAATCAGTAAAACTTCCCATATGAAGTTAAACAGCTATACTGTAATGCATATGAACAAAAAGACCACAGTAAAGCTGCAAGGCCAGCCCTAATTTCAGTGTTTATTTATGTGCTCCTGACTATGCAGCTTTAATGTTCTTTTAGTGTTTGCCTTCATGCATAATCACTTCATAAATAAATTAAAAGAAATGAAATTGCAGTGTGATTTATTTTGTCAGTTCTTCAGCGTTATTAGACTGTTACCCATTGATGCAAATAACTGCAGTCTTTCTGTTTGTCTGCATTTCTTCCTGGTTTTGCCTTCCTGATCTGTTTAAAGTGCTTTGCTGCAAAAATGTAGTTTGTTCTGAAGATTGCAATGCTCTGCAGAAGAAACAGAAAAAGAGACAATTTTCC